TTGTTAAGTACTATATTTCAGAATATATTGTAAAAGTAAACTAGGAATGAATAACAAACCAATACAACATCAGTGTGCAGAACCATTCCTTGGTCACACTGTTAACATTGACATGAATGACATCGATGAATAATTAAATTTTCACAGCTTACCAATCTCATACTGATATAACTGCAGCCTCAAGCATAGCTGCAGTATTGCATTACTTACATGGATTACATACTTGCCTCGTTATTCACCTATTAATATAGAGAGTGTCTGAATTCCAAATTCCAACTTTCCCATTTTAGCTTTCTCCGGTTTCTGATTTTCTCCCCCACCCTGGCTGCCAGAATTCTCCCAATCTATTTGAGAGCTATCTCAACCCTTCCCAACACTCAGATAACCATTATAACAGGATTCACCAAATCAATGTTAAGTACAGAAATACTGGCTGGTTTCCTCTACCTGGATTCGGAGATGCCACGGATAGTGTTGACCCTCTTCAGTTGCCACCACTTGACCTCAAACGCACCCACTGGGCTGGATTTTCTGGTGAGTAGCAATCTCAGGCAAATTGCCACTGTGGGCCTTCTTTTCTACCACATTTTTGACAGGACATTCCACTCAGGGCTCCTTAGAAATGTGCAACTGCACTTCCATTCTGAGTTTTTCTTTAACACAGAACTGCCAATGGAAGTGCTGGAGCCCTTGCTGATTTTTCATAGTTTTATTTTATTCTTTTTTTTTAAAATTTTGGTTTGGAGCTGTGTACTAGGGACTGAGATCTCAAGATGACTTTTGGACAGTGTGTAACAGCTTGTGTTACAAAGAAAACAGACCAACACAAGTTTTTGTTTATTCATGAGGCCAAGCCTGGAAATTAACTGCAAGTTGGTTACTGATCAAAAGTTTCTATACATGTTTAGTCAGCAGGGAAGTGCATTATATTTAAACAGGCAGAAGTTGGCTATTAACGAGGTCAGTACCTGGAAATTGGTTGCAGCAAATCTGGAAAAGACCTTAAACTCAAGCAGATGTTGCATGGTAACTGGGACCTTATGGAGGTGCTGGTCAGTCTGTTATAGAGTGGTCAGAGTTTAATCTGGGTTTTGGACGGTGTTTTTTGTTAAAAAAAGAATTGGCTATTGATGCTACAGCTTGAAGATCTGATGGCTCTCTGCCTAATCTCCCATTAGTAGCTCTTGAAAGGTCACAGAATAGGAATGAAAAATTCATTCACTGAATGAACTGAAAACGTGAATCTGATTGCTTCTTGGTTGATTTCCTGAAGATGGCAATCATCTATGCTACTGAAGAAATCCATTGTGAAAACTGCTTAGGTAATCTGGCCAATTTTGTTATTTTCATTTATTTATCCTTTAACTGTTTTGGTTGTCTCTCTGTCCTTTGTGCGAATGAGGCTGAAAACAAAAGATGCTGGGTTTAAAGTATAGATTATTTAGATTTCTTTGTTGTTTAACTTTTGCTCTGCTAAGGTTACTACGTCGTTAATAAATTGCTAAGATACAAACCAGTGTCTGGAATTGATTATTTGCAGAGTGTGGGGTTGATTACACAAAAGTTTGGTCAGGAACCACTGTGGTCAATTTTGAAGGTCTTTGAAGGATTTAATTTTACTGTGCTAGAGAAGTGGAAAGGTTGATTTTATTCAGCTATCTGTCTCCGTGTGGCAACACAAGGCAATCACACCCTCTTTTCACAGCAGTCAGCTGCCTTATTGTCAAATGTGAAGCTCCTGATGGACACACTGACAGCTGCTGTAAACCCACCAGTGCATAAGGTAAGTGAGGCGTTAGGGAAAGCTGGAAAGGGTAGGCTTCTAGATGATTAGGTGCCAGATAAGTAGGATGGGCAGCTGAAAAAGGTGCCAGGTGAGTAGGCAGCAGGATGCCAGCTAAGTTGGGTGACAGCTGGGTAGAATGCTAGGGTACAAGATGGAAAGGGATGTAATGCAGTACTTAGGATAGAAGAAATCAGTCTGTCAGGGTGGGACAGAGATGAGTCTTCAGGTAGGGTGGTGGGAATGGTTTAAGGTCAATGGATTGGGTCCGAGGATGATGTGCAGAAGACGGTCCCTGGGCTATTGGGTCAGCCTCTGGGGGCGTGTGCGCATGTGTACACATGATTGGGTGGGTGAGGTCAGCATGGGGACAGTTGAATAGTTACTCAAGAGTTAGATGAGCAATTTAATAGTCTAACATTTCCTGAATAACTATTTTACTTAATTTCATCAGAACCATCTGAAGTCTCTGATTTTGGAAGGGTTGCAGGTATAGATAATTTTCTAACAGAAGATTAAATTTCTTGGGTATTTCTTTTGGAGTGTGCTACAACCAGGATGCCGCAGGGTCACTGTGCGACTCCTACCTGCACGAAAACAACTGTCCGACAATGGAATATCTGGGTCAATGTTTTAGGTCACTGGCCTTTCATTACAAATAAGGTATCTCTCTCAGCAGATGTTGTTCCACCTAAGTATTTGTAATATTTTCTGCTTTTATTCCAGATTTTCATATTGCTTCGATAAAAGGATATATCAATCCAGGCCAAAAATTGAATTCAGATCAATGCTGGAACGATAGTCCACCCAATTTAATTGCTTCTTCGTGCTGCCACCTTATTTTATTTATATTCACTTCTGATCTCATCCAACACTGCCATTTTCATTACTTGACTTCACTAAAGAACTAATCCTGTCTTGAACCAATCCCCCAACATTTATCTTCAAAGGCAGAATTCTTGGCCCTGTCTCAACATAGCAACATTTGAAGACAAAGAACAGAAAATTCATACACCAGTCAAAAGCTGCTTATTCTTCTATAACGTTATATCCTGCCTTGCACATTGTGCAACAAACCAAAAATGTGATAATAGGCAGAAAGAAAAAAAAATTAAAGGACACTGAAACTAAATCTGAAGACAACAATTATTCAGTAATTAAAATTACCTTTCAGTTACACGTGAATCAGTCACAACAAGGTTTGATAATATAGCTTTTTATGTATTTATGTATGGGAAATAGCTATTTAAGTATGGGAAATAGTTACTTATGTATCGGAAATGAATCATATGTGTTGTTGTACTAGAATCACATACCTAATCTATAAAACTCTACAAATTTCTCCAGTGGCTTGCTGCATAGTACAATTCACACCTTTTCTGTCACACTTCCATTGATTCATAGGCTTGCCTACAACAATAATTAAGCACTTTACGGCATACATTTTCTATCAGGAGTAGCTTACAAGTAATGCAAACAGGGTAAAACCAAATCCCAAAGTCTCATGCGCAAACTTCAGTTTAGTCTTTAAGTGTCACTAATGAGGTGCACATACAACAGTATTCTTGAATTACCAAAAAAAATGAAGTTACTGGAAAAACTGTTATTTTAATGAGGGACACTTACTTCAACACCTTTTCAATACATCTAAACTTGAGTACATTTGAAGATGAAATTCTGAATGTTTACAATTAGTTTCATTTTTCAGCACTGCATGTACTGGTTGCCATATTTGCCTGTGGTAATTACTGCACATCAACGTAACTCATTGTATATGAAGCTCAAATTTGAGAAATTTAAGGCACAAATTAAATCAAAGTCTTCCTTTCCATAATGGAATTATACTGCTGTCTGCTTACTTCTGTAAAGCATACATTATTTGCTAAATAAGAATGGCATATTTAAGAATTGGGCATGGTTGTATTTTCTTAACCACTAGGATAGCTACCACAATGCACATGGCATAGACCACTGAAAACAGGATGTGTAACAAAATAACAAGTGATTTCTTTAAGGATTGTTCAACAGGTTGGTCTTCACTACACAGGTACCTTTATCAGACCTCCCAAGTTACATGGTGTTTCATTTCATTGCTTACACTGCTGGACATTAGAAACATAACTTCTAAAGGGGTGTCACATTGGGGCATTTACTAATACTGCTGCTGAAAACATGAAATGCTCCACGTTTGAAATTTATCAGTAACCCCTCTAAGTTTGATTTTTCAAAATTATACCCAAAGATAAACAGGAGCTAAATTTTGCTAAATTTCTCGTGCACAAGGTAGAGCACTGCATTGTTAAAACATTAGGAAGCTATTTTTAAATAGTCTAGTAATAGCTAATAAATAATGTTTAAGGATACATTACTTAACTTCACATTTCCATAGAGATTCATTCCAAATTACAAAACCTACGGCCTCCAGTGTTTCTTGCACGCATTCACCATTGTCTGTGGCAGGAAGATAAGACCGCAGCAGGCTAGTAATATGCAGCAACAATGATAACAGCCTACTCCAGCCAAACGAAACATGGTTCTTGTGAAGGAGGATGAACCCTCATCAACTTTTATTTCATAGAACAAAACTTTTGTCCTCCAGT